AACTACACACACCAGGGTAGGACCCGGTACTGGGGCTATGATGTACAATTTTCCACACCAGGGTAGGACCTGGTACTGGGGCTATAATGTACAACTACCCACACCAGGGAAGGACATGGTACTGGGGCTTTTATGTACAACTACCCACACCAGGGAAGGACCCGGTACTGGGGGTATAATGCACAACTACACACAATAGGGAAGGACCTGGGACTGGGGCTATTATGTATTACTACCCACACCAGGGTAGGACATGGGACTGGGGCTTTTATGTACAACTACCCACACCAGGGAAGGACATGGTACTGGGGCTTTTATGTACAACTACAAACGCTAGGGTAGGACCTGGTACTGGGGCTACAATGTACAACTACACACACCAGGGTAGGACCCGGTACTGGGGCTATAATGCACAACTACACACAATAGGGAAGGACCTGGTACTGGGGCTATTATGTATTACTACCCACACCAGGGTAGGACATGGTACTCTATAATGAATGACTATCTACACAAGAATAGGACCTGTTACTCTGGCTATAATGAACAACCTCTACACCAGGATGGGACCTGTTATTTCGGCTATAATAATCAGCCATATGCAATCTTTATATTTTACCTTTTTCGCAAATAATGGTTTATTCTTTATTTGTTTTTCTTTAAATCTCTTATACAAATTCTCAGCCATGCTTACACTTGATGTAAAAGTTTAAATATTTGATCTATTTTAGCACTTAATTCAGTGGAGAATGAAACCCCGCTGGTACAACATTGTACAAATAGTAGAGTTTAAAGAACTCTATACTAATGAAGGGTATTGAATGTTTAAATTGCTACTTTACAAATCACCTAATCAGTTATTTAATTTACCTTTTGTACCTTATAATCGAAACCGTCTACAAAATCAATCAGAGTTTTTACGTATGGCTATACATAGAATTCAGGTTACATATAAATATAATAAATGTGAAATTATGTTCATTGTATAACGTGTGACTGTGTTCATGCGTATACGTATGCATCGCGTATGTATACCAATTACAATTGAGCTTTACAGTAGAAAAACGTTTTCATATTTCTATTAATGAATAGTCTTGTTCGTGACATTTGATACATATATCGTGACCAGTTTATAATAACAATTAGCGAACTATTCTTTATTATTTTCGATGATTTACCTTCATTGTCAGGATAGGATTTACATGAGAAACGCAGGTCGGTTGTACAAACAAATCTGGGCCAATTCATTAAGAACAAAAATGATAAACAGCAGTCCGTATATTGGTATTTCAAGTTCTATACCTATGATTAGAAAATCTAGAGTGTCCATTTATTGTCTTGAGGTCTTTATGTTAAAACAGAAAGTTCATCCTTTACATTACACTGATACTATTTCATATGTGAATGCCTAATATTGGGTAAACAGATTATCCGTCCCTCTGCCTGCCTGCAGTATTGGAGTGCTATCGGGCGCAAACTACGAAACTCAGCCTTTAGTATTCATACAAAACTGATGAATCTCATACCGAATATTCTATCTCTATACTATTTAAGAATATAAATACAAGTTACCTGTTAAAACCGTTTCAGACTTTTAACATAGTGTAACGATTCTAATCATTAAAATGTTGATCTCCACTTCATTGAGTTGAAACATAATTACAAGTTATATTTAAAATAAACAAATAAAACGCGTTTTAACCCAGTGAAACCGGTCAGTTGATTTTCAAATTACGAAATACAATGTATATCAGAAGTTACAAAAAAATGTTTCATTGATTACAAAAACATGTTTTACTTCACTTATTCAAATATGTTGATCTGCATATTACGAACTACAACGTTTACAATCAATTTAAACCAGATGAAAAATGTTCCAGACTATATTTGACAAGAAAAATGCGTTTCAAATGACTAAAACCAGAAACGTAGAATCGTTTGGTTATTTTCTAGATTATGTACTGTGGATATGAAGTGTTATATTGTACATAAACCATAAAAATACAGCATAATCTGACGGTTTTACAACCATCGTTATTACAGTAATAAAACCAGACATTAAAATGCAATAAAACCAACCTTTGAAAAGCCACAGTAAACATAGGATGATGATTCTTAAAATTTTAAATCAAATATATTTTCAATCTTCTTCATCTGAATGACAAGAGCAATGGAAAGGACAGAAAACGTTCACTGTTTACATAAAAAAGCACGAGTGTAATTTGTAACCTTACCCTTGAGCCAGGAGGTGGTGGAGACGTCTTTTGTTGACTTATTACCGCAACCGGCGAATTCTGACCCACAGGTACAACTTGACGTTTAGTATAGCAAATATAAACAAACGAAATGGCTTCCTTGTCCCCACAATTCTAACGAGCCGAAGACTTCTAGTCTCTTTGAAGATCATCTTCAACATTTGTTAGGATTTCAAATGTTTGACTACACTGATTACTCCCACTATAACACATTTAATCACCCCAGATTTTACACAAGCACGTATATACAGATATTCCGAGGTAGTCCCTATGTCTACAGCCATTTCCCCATCTCTCTATATAATTATTACCAATGAAGTAATTTGTTCAGGTTTTAAGGCTTCGTGTGATGCCCTCAAAACTGGCGCGTTCTCTGCTTGATCAAAAACTGCCCAAATAAAACTTTATGCACACTGTTGTTATATTTTCGACAAAAACTAATAAATAACGATAATTTTAGCACGTGGAAAGTGAGTGCCTTTTGTTAACGTTTTCCTGGTTATACCGTATATGTTAATGTATAGGAAAAAGAAAGCTCGCTTTATGGAATTTGTCATTTCAAGTTAGCATTCAAATTAACTGTGGATACCAACTGAAGAAGTTCAGGACCTATATTTACCAATTTCAATGATTTTCAAATTAAGTCAATATATCAATATCCAGCATTTATTCAAATAATTGCATGTATCATAAACACGTATCAATGTCGCACATTATATAAGTTATCATTAAAGAGGCCCTGATCGACTCCAGTAGAAGAGTCATACTGTATATACGTAATCATCATAGAGGCCCTAATCGAATCCAGTAGCAGTCATACTTTATATAAGTTATCATGATAGAGGCCTTGATCGAATCCAGTAACAGTGTCATACTGTATAAAAGTTATCATCATAGATGCCCTGATCGAATCCATTAGCAGTGTCATACTTTATATAAGTTATCATGATAGAGGCCTTGATCGAATCCAGTAACAGTGTCATACTGTATAAAAGTTATCATCATAGATGCCCTGATCGAATCCAGTCGCAGTGTCATACTGTATCTAAGTTATCATCATAGAGGACCTGATCGAATCCAGTAACAGTGTCATACTGTATAAAAGTTATCATCATAGATGCCCTGATCGAATCCACTAGCAGTGTCATACTGTATAAAAGTTATCATCATAGAGCCCCTAATCGAATCCAGTAGCATTGTCATACTGTATATAAGTGATCATCATAGAGGCCCTAATCGAATCGAGTAGCAGTGTCATCCTGTATATAAGTTATCATGATAGAGGCCTTGATCGAATCCAGTAACAGTGTCATACTGTATCTAAGTTATCATCATAGAGGACCTGATCGAATCCAGTAGCATTGTCATACTGTATATCAGTTATCATCATAGAGCCCCTAATCGAATCCAGTAGCATTGTCATACTGTATATCAGTTATCATCATAGATGCCCTGATCGAATCCAGGAGCAGTGTCATACTGTATATCAGTTATCATCATAGATGCCCTGATCGAATCCAGTAGCAGTGTCATACTGTATATAAGTTATTAAAGAACAGAAAAGTCATCCACAAAAACAGGTCAGTGTAAACCAACGATACGAGTATTGCCTTATTAAGAAAAACGTCGACACATTGGCTATGACATTCATGGCTGATATGATTACCATCGGAAGTTGAGATATAAAGTGGAAATGCCAGAGTGGTAATAATGATTTAATGCAGTGTTTGATGCGAAACGTGGTACAATGTACATACAAAATGTTGGCATTCATGTCAGTGATATATTAGTTATTTTATGAGTGACGTTTTGTTATTAAAAGCATTTCATAGGCGTTAACCAAGGCTATGCTAAATGAGTTTGAAAAATCACTGAAAGCTATCTGTCATAAATAATGTGTTTTTCGCTTGTCTTAAATAACATATCTAGTTTTGTAAGCGTGAACGCAAATATACAATTTTCTTAATTTCTGGAAATAGTGAAAAAGATTACGCTAATCAACCTCCTTGAAAAGCGACGATATGCCGTCACAGTTGAAGCGGAAGTAAGTACAGCCAATTATGGGGAAACCCATCTGGTAGAGACGGTGTGATGGCAAGAAAGCTGACGTAGCGGTAAACCCGGGGAGCCGTGAATCGGATCCAGATATAGTACATCCTTGAGACAAAGTCATATACAAAAACAAGTTCGAGTTGACATGGAAGGTTGAAATGAGTATTCTGATTGCGTAAAACCAGATAAGCGTCCCTATAAATATATTCGGTCGTCATTTCTTTCACAATTTTGCGAGCGACAATGAATAACGACAGTTCCCCACGACAAAGTTATTTCTTAATTACCTATATATATTTATCATATGAATACTGTGTTATGCAGTGTCATAAAGCCATCACGTAAATTATGTTTATGTAACGTGTGTAATATCACTCAGGAAAAGACGTCACAATCAAATAGGAGCAATCAATATGACGTCACGTCATTGTGAAGCAGGCGCCATTTTCATCATTTCAGAAGCGGCCAAGTGGAAAATATTCGTTTCAGATCACAATTATACAGTTTACTTTGTATAATATGATAAAAAGAATCTGCCATTCGCTTCCCTTCATATTTGATTAAAAGAAGCTTAGGATGCCCCAAGGGTCACCTGGTTGTACAATAGATATTCTTTGTAGCTAGAAATAAAAACAAAAACTGAAAATTATTCAAATTCAACAAATCCTTAAAAAAATAACACATGTGCGTAAAATTTTCTATATTATTTTATTAATAAACATTTCTACAAATTGTTAACCAAAAAATTACGGAATTGTCGATTTTGTTGACTCTAGGCCTCAATATATATAATTTAAATTTGCTTCCTAGTGCTTTTTAATACATAAGAAAAAAACATATCCAAAAGCATTATTTCCATGTGAACTACACTATATATTATCTGACCACTCAATAAGGGGGATAGAATGATTTTCTGGTGATACAATTAACGCATTTTTGATAAATTTAAAATGCTCATTGGACCTTTCCATTCATGAAGACCATCTCATCGTAGCATTTTTGGATCATTTAAAGAAAGAGTATTCGCCCATTTTCCACTTCGCTCCAAATCTTCAAATGACATTCCACGATCATATTTCAATATGTCATTCGAATTTCTGATTGACGTGAGAAATAGCACCTCATCAAGACCATCAATACAACAGGTTGACCATATAGCATTTTTGATTAACCAGAAAAATAACATCGTTTTTTTCAGAACAAAAACTGGTAATCAAGTTTCAGATGAATTGGCAAATAAGAACTTTAAAACTGGAATTATTTTGAAAGAGTTTTTCAAATGGCTGCCATAATGAACTTATGAACAACCCGGAGAAAAAGGGGGAAAAATCACATGATAAAATCAATACAATGCCCATCATCAATAACAGCAAATGTAGCAGCACCTCTAAAACTTGTTATCTTACTAGTATCAGGAAAAAACAGATATGTATTATTTCTACCAAAAGTATTAAGTAATAGTATATACAATTGTCCAAAATGGATATTTACATAATAAAGAAATACTTTTCCCCATAAATCTATTATATAGAAACTTCAACATAATAACATTGAGATGAACAAAATACATATATACAATACCTCTTTACAAAATCGTACACCATGATAAGAAAATCAAATAAATTAGATCACAAATAACTTTGCAAAATAATCACAACAATTAGGAAAGATCGGAACGTGTAACAAGAATATGGAAGGCCGAAGCAGAAAACAAAACAATGTCACTAATTACTGCACTAAATGGTCATATCGTTCATTTAGGACTCATTAGTGGTATAAAATAGGAAATGCAACACGTATGGGACTGTGTAAACACGTGACGAATTGTAAGCGTTCATAACACATTGCTATCAGAACAGAGGGTCAGGCATTGCAGGAAATAATTGATATCTGGAATTTAATCTTGTACTTGAACAACATCATGGTGAAGCATATTTTTTCCCTTTTTTTTCTTCAAATTCTACATTAACATATCAAGTGAGTCTTTCACGTGATGTCCATTTAAACGTTAACATTATTAATCATAATTAGAAATGCTGATTATACAAAAATGCACTTGTTTTCCTTTAGGACGAACTAAACAGGTAATATGTTACTAGCAGTACACCAAATACCATCACAAATTCAATAAACATACAAAAATTAAAAAAAAAAAAAAATGTTCTTAGATTTAACAAAATCATGGTATAACATTACACAAACAATTAAGTCACCGGGGAAAGACACTTACCTTTAAAGTTGAATTTATGAAAATATAGCAGCCCCTGGTTATGAACATGTCAAAAGTCATTTCATTCTGAAGTAGTTCGGACAGATTTGTTCTGTAATAGTGTTTTATCAGGATTTATCATGGCCTAGCAAGCTAAATGCTAATTACATGCAAGTCATTTGTACAGCTCTGAAATCTCAACAACATTAAAAAAATATTAATTCCTTTCTCCAAGCACATTTGTATATCTCATACACCGATTTCATTCAGTATCATATTATTGGATGATTTGATTGAATTATTACGTAAATGATTGAGAAAAGCAAATGACAAAATCAGAACAGTTCATATATGCCGACGTCACTGCTTGCCACTTCCGCTACTAAGAATTTGTCCTCGCGCACAGCAATCGTCGATGGTTCTTTCAAACCATGCGCTAAAGTAAGCAGCACTCTACTTCCGGAAGAAGGGCTCACTTGTACGATGTTTCTGGTCTTCCGTCCACAAATGTATACATTTCCCTCTTTATCTACGTCACATCCTCGAAGTCCTTTGACGAGGTTTGGGCCAAAAGCTTTTTCTGAAAATTTATCGAGAGAAGACACCTTCAATATGCCGCCATTTTCTGTGTCATGAGTGCTGATAACCTCCCTTTGAAAGTTGTTTGTCACTAGCTGCCAACATGGAAGCGGTAACTTACAAAATTGGGTTAACTGACATTTATTACCTATTTCCAAAACATTGAACAGGGTGACTTTGCACTCTGACGGACAGCTAATCACTAGTCCTCCTCTGAATAAAGTTATACCGTAACAGCACTTTTTGACCCGGATGTCGCGGATTCTGATTAACGCGGACGTCATGGGGTCACGTTGAATGAATACTATGATTTGTTCAAAAGGTAATGTGACCGCAAAAGTAAGATCATCAACGCTACAAATGTCCCAAGGACCACTTGATAGTCGGACCTGCATGACGAGATGGCCATAATCCGAGAACAGCTTTACGGCTTTGTTCGGGAAGTCGATCAAGATGACCTGATTATTTGGCAGGTACAAGGCACTGGTTATTCCGCACGGAAACCGGTCTTCACGAGTACGAACATTGTATCGCAAGATCTCACGCGCGCTTCTGACATTAAAGGGAAGTAATTTCCGGACAGATGACGGAAGGTCGGTTTTCTCCCGTACAAAGTTTGTCTCTCCGAACGTGTCTAGATCAAGCGCAGCTGTTAAAAGAGGGTTGATCAGGACTGAAAGACGAGACAAGCTGTGGAATCCCGATATCTCCTTCACTACTGTTACACACTGTTGTATCTGGGCGTGACAAAACAGCGCAGCCGATATGATTTTTTGATCATCACCATCCTGGAGGGCAGCATTCAGTCTAACTAAAGAACGATTTAACCCGTCGTTTACGTTTTCGCATCGCTCAGCGACTGAAAGTAAAACTTGCTCCTCTCCTTTCGAAACTTCTAATACCTGATCTTTTAACTCCTTTTCCATTTCGTCCAAATGGTTATTGATGTCATTCCGCATGTCGCGAATGTGCTCAACGCTGGATTCGCGATCATCAGACATTGCATGTATGTGTTGTTTGAAAAGTCCAAGCATGGCTTCCATAGCTGACAAGCTGTTTTTAATGGTTGTTTTCAATTCAGAACGTTCTCGCTTTAAGATCCGCGAGTATTCCCTGAATGTGTGAACTCCATCGCATGTCGAATGTTCTTCTTTCATGCAATCGACACATATCGGGACCTTATGCGACATACAGAAACAGTCAAACTTTCCACCATGCCGCCTGCATACTAATCGCGAATGGTAAAAATGTCTTTGATCTACAGTCACCAGGGGAGATAATTCTATTTTTAATTCTGACTGTTCAGCATCAACATAAACACGTGTGTGATCGGGAGCATGTAGATGCAAAACACTATCACAGGTTTCACAGAGGTTAACTGAGCACTGCTCACAATGTAAGTTTGCTTTCACAGTTTTTCTGTTAAATATTTGGCAGTTTCTACAATATTTGTTTTCAGGAGGTTTCGCCTTACCCTTGGACTTTGATTTGGGCTTGTTTGACTGCTTTGCATTGTGTATGGGGTATTCCGGTAAACGTCCGATTCTGATCAACTCCAGCATAATATTGTTGGTAGGAAACTGGTTAGACCAGTCTGTGTGGGGTTTAGTAGGATCAATTGGTGAACTATCTCGTCTACAGATCGGACAAGGAAAACTTCTGATGGGTAACAAGAACCCAGATTTCGTAGCCTTCTCCTCTATAAAAGAACCAAGACAATCAAAACAGAAGGTATGTAGGCAAGGTAAAGCTTTCGGGCGTTCCAGTGTGTCCAGACAAATTGGGCAGTCTGTGATTTCAGAACCGCTCAAACTACTCGGCATTTCTGATGCCACAGAGTTGTCTTCAAGTCTTGATTCCTTTTCTTCCCCAGTTGCGTTGTCTAACAGTTCAGTTGGTGGTAATGAAGCACTGGAATTCCTGTTACGATAACCTCCATTTCCGTGCCCTTGTGACGGAGACGGAGTACTTGCTTCAAACCGGAAAGGTTGCAGATGTTGGCGGTGTCCAATATTTCCTCCTGGACCCTCCGAGAAGAGGTCATCATCGCTGAAGAGGAGACCATCGTCCCACGAACCGATTCCTCCCTCTGCCATGGTCACTGGGGAAAAGGCATATGTTGACCTGACAATGGCCTACGCCATTCTGTAAATAAATATGAAATCGTTAGAAACTGTTCTGTTTCAATCACGTTTTAGCTATTTGTTTAGTTATAAGCGATTTACCAATGATTTTGCATTAGCGCATTCAGTTTATATCGGAACAGATATAACAAAACAAAAAACAAACAAACATTCAAAAAAATAAGACAATCATGCACAATTTATTATTTCAACATTCATGAGGTCATAACATTGGCTTTCTGGACATATTCCATGAATCACGTTAGCGCTTCTTTGTAAATACGTCCAGAAAGCGGATGTTGTAATGACCTCATGTATGTTGAAAAAATAATTTGCATTCCTTATATTTACATTTTCAATTGCTTTCAATTTTCCGATCCAAGGATAAATGCACATCATACCGGCATTGTTTAATTTCTACTTATGCATGGAGCAACTCAGTAGAGAGAACAGCGTGTTTTCGCGGGAAAATGTAAAACTTTCGCTGGGGGTCCTAGCAAAAGAACGACAACAAAACACAGAATATAGTTTCATTTTCAAATTTCTAATTTGTAGAATTTACACAAGTCGGATAGTATTATCATGTACCTTACACGCTCCATTCGAGCTTTAAATTAAGCCTTTCGTGTTTAAAGTTAATCATATTTGCATAACTAAACTACATTGAGGGCTATTTCACGGCGGACGTGTGCCAATTACGCACTGTGCTACGTCATTAAAGTGTATCAATAGCAGTGATGTTGCAAAAATGAATCTCATTTTCGCCAAATGATGCAAGCACAGAAAATGGAAATATTAATTATTTGAATACCGTGTGCTGCAGTGCCATAAAGCCATCAAATAAATTATGTTTATGAAACGTGTGTAATATCACTCCGGAAATGACGTCACAATCGAATAAGAACAATCAATGTGACGTCAAGTCATTGTGAAGTGGACGAAATTTTCATTGTTTCAGAGGCCGCCAAGTGCAAAATGTTCGTTTTAGATCACAATTATACAGTTTATTTTATGTTATATGATAAAAAGAATCTGTCATTCGTTTCAGTTCATATTAAGATATATGATACTCGTTTTTGATTTTCCATATTTGCTCGCCAGAGGCTCGCAAACATGTAAATTCCAAAATTCGTATCGTAAATATAATATGAAGGGAAAACTATGACAGATTCTCTATATAAAGTTAGTACGACTAAACTCATGGTGATTATGCCAACACAATGACATACATCAATAAAGATGCATTATGTCGTCATTTCTCATTAACTTGTTGACGCTATAGCAGTTATGTTTTATAGAATGGTAAATAGTTGAGCTACTGTATGGAACATGTTAGTATATTTGTTGATGCTGTTGCATATATGCTATTTTCGACTTCATTGCCCAATGCATGGTACTATAAAATGTGTGTAAAATGTGTTCTATTCTGTAGCCAATCAAATATTTTGTCCATCCGATCGTTCTAAAAACATTGTACAACTGTTATAGACGTACCGTAATTAATGTGATGAAATATGTCCCCTGGTTCTTTATCTAGCTATGTTTGTGATTACTGATACCGTAAAGGAACCATAAAGTTACAAAGTAGTTTTAGTAACAAGCACTATAATATCCATCTAAGGGGAGAAAACCCTTACAAAATTACTTATTTTTCTTAAGTTTTCCCAATTAAAACTGAATGCCACTTACGAAGAAAAATATAAATGTAGTAATATATTTAAAAAAAACCAGACTATTTATGCTTACAGTCAGACAATATTTTGTGTACCAAAAATCATTTTGAAGGTGTGTAAAAATATTTGTCACGGTAACATTATATTCATTAGTTAACAACAGGAATGCTTCCAAATCATGCAAGACACCTGGTTAGATGTATCCACAGAAAGTACAGCGTTATGAACAGGGTTCGTAATCAAAGTAATATGTATATATTTAAAAAAAGGCTTATATGTAGCTTACAAGGGTACTTCAAGCTCAAATACATGTACATTACAATAAATAACATTAGAATGTATTGTCCTTGAGAGCTGATGTTTGTTTCATCATTTCATGTAGCAAACGCAAGGAAATGGATTTCAAAGACTTTTTAAAGACACTTTGGTGTATATCTTTTACTTCTTTTAGAGAGGTCAACGGTCGTTTAAGGGATCTTGGTAATGTAGGAAATTGTATTCTAAGGTCATGCTATGATGATATGCTTTGTAATAATGACATTTGGTTAATGAGTGTAAAACAAGAATTATACAGAATTGGTCTTGGAAATGTGTGGGAATCCTCCAGTTTAAATAATAGCACTTTTCATATTATAAAAGAACGTCTTTGTGACATATTCAGACAAGAATGTTTTGAAAAAATCAATCTTCTCCTAAAGGAGCATTGTATCAGTATGTGTGTAATTTTGGTCACTAGTATTATTTATCAAAACCTGTAAATATAAATTATTTAAAACAAATATGTAAAATTCGAATGTCTGCACATAAGTTAAATATTGAGTGTGGCAGATATAATAGAACTGAAAGACAAAACAGATTGTGTACAGTATGTGACCTGAATGATGTCCAGGATGAGTTCCATTTCATTTAAAAATGTTCTTGCTATATTGATATAAGGTTGAAACTAATTAAGAAATATTATGTAAGACATACAAGCATGTATA